CCTGCAAATCTGCATGACTTTTGTGCTATTCAACAAAGACCTCAAAGGTCAAATTAGCTCAGCTAATTTTAAACACAGCAGCTCCACCCAATTCTCTAAAGAAAAATTATTAACATATGTTTAGTTTTCAAAGCAATAATAATAAATATATATTAATAAAATATCTTAAATGTCAATGTCAACATTGAGAAAAAATATAAAACACAGTTAGCCCCGTTAAGATTGGACAGAGACCATCTTGTGCAAAAAATTCTAAGTTTTTCCACCAATTATTTTTCTAAACTTTGACTGGGCCATTCTAGGAGTTTACTATGCTTGATCCAAATCATTCAGTTGTAACCCTGGTTACATGTTTAGCATCACCAGCCTGCTGGGAGGTGATCATCAGAACCATCAACAAGTCTTTACCAAATTTTCATTGGTTTCTGTTCCATAATTATGTTTAATTCAGAAGCTTTCAACTCTTGACCAATGAAAACAAAAGACAGAGGTTGCTTTTTGATCCAGAAATAGGATACAACTATGACACAATCTCTATTACCATGCAAAAAACATATTCTAAAGTAATAAATACCTCCCAAAAGAACACAATTCAACTCACATCTAGACACATGAATAGAAAATTGTTAAAAATCAACAGTAAAGACAGTTAATTCACCTCTACATTTAGGCTGAAACAGAGTTTTCTTCTGTTTTTCACAGCTTAAAAGGTTTAATGTGAAACCCTGAGCAGAAAATCTATCACCTCGAATTCATTCTTTACTAATAGCCAAAAGAATCATCGACAGCCTGCTTAGAAGGTTACGGCAGGTTCACGTGAACAGAGCTTCTGCATTACCAAATTGCTATCTCTTAAATAGCCTCTAACTCAACAAGACAAAGGAAAAGTGGGAGCAAACAGGGGTCTGCAGCTATCTGCCTGAAGGCTGTGGGTGGGTCATTGTAATGCAAATCTTGGTGCCTTGTCTTCAGTTTGTGGCAGGAAATTTAATTACCAGTTGTGTAGCCACGAAACAAGCAGGTGTAACGCAAGGTATGTAGCCGACACATACACTCAGACAGAGGGTACAGACTGAAAAGTATTTCATTTCACAACAAGCCTCAGCTTGTTACCGTTACACCAGGGCGAATCAGTGACTGCACTTTCTGAGGGAACAACAAGAGTTGTTTCTCCGTTTCCTAGCAGCAACAACCTGCATTTTCCAAAATCTTTTCAGACAACCTTAAAGCAAGAGAAAGTTTTGCTATCAACAGATAATATTACATCACTTAACAGACCAGCGAGTTGTGGAAAGTATGAATCTGTAACATTTCAAATGCATTAATGGCACTATTAATTTCTGCTTAACAAGCCCCCGCGAGGCATTCTCCTCTCAGCCCTTCAGTTTCGCTCTGTGATTTCCTGACATGCCACAACTTGAGTTGTGCAATAAACCATTAAAACGGTCTTAAAATATGAGAAAGATGTGAGCAAAAATAGCCAAGGAGCTCACGTTCCAAAGCAAGTGCAGCTCTATCTGACACACAACACTCACCAGAAGAAGTATATATATATATAGTTTCATTTTTCCAGCTGTTTGAAGCATAGAAAAACTAAAAACCATTCTCCACCTGTTGCTATTCGCTGCTGCTCAGCTGGATGGAAGAAGGCACCAACACTTTTTTTCAGGCTATTTTAGAAATGTCTGGAAATGTTTTTCAATGTTTTCCTGTTTTTTTTTATCCATCTAACTGGTTCATAATGTGAACCAGTTAGAATAATTGTTCCTTACATTAAATCAAACATTTGTTTTTTAATGTTTATGTCAGTACCATAATAACTTGAAACCGTGGTATTTACTCAAGGTTATGACACAGTACAAATCCAACTTCTTATGTATAATCTAAGTGAATGGTTTCATCAAGATAGCTAAATACATCATCGGCAAACACTGACATAATACACATATGAATGCAGACACTAAATTCATACACACATTGACTAAAAGCTGTGTTAGGTCACCCACTGCCCAGGAGATCTCTTCTGCAGCTGTTCTGCTGCTTACTGACTGCACACATAGGGATCCATTAAACATGTCAGATGCAAAATGACTAAGAGTTGATAATGGAATACAATAATCCATCAACATACTTTGTGGAACACAGGGTAGAAACTCTTTATTGCTAAGTTACAAGCCAGCATTGTGCTTAGAGCTAAAATAGGTTATTCCTCAAATTTCAAAAGTTAGCATGTGACCTAAAGTTAGAAAGTTAGAAACAACAATCTCCTTAATTACTTCTGCTCTGTTCCATCAAGTGCTTTCCACATGCCTTTTCTCAGACCTGCCTCTGCAAACTGAAGGTATGCAGTGCAGCCACAAGGAGGGAGATAAAATATACCTGATGAGGACATTTCACTTCCTGGCCCTATCTGACCCCTTTTTTTTCCCCACCCCTTCTATGATTTTGTGTATCAAGTTGCCATGTAAACATAACAGAGTCACGCTTAGACGGGGATGTGGGGAGGGTGGAGGTTTCGCAGTTTCAGCAGAGTCATCGCTTTGATATCACGGTTCTGATTTGGTTATATCACTGTTATTGCTGCTGGGAGGAATGTTTGACTAATCAAAATTTCTCACTTCAAAACAAAGCTTTACATTTCTTCAGAGTCTAAAGGAGTTAAACTATGTGGCTGGAAGAATCCCAAACATATGCAATATTTTCAAATTTCAATACATAATTAAATAAAGAATAACAGAATTAATTTTACATGAAAGAAAACAGATTTCATCTGATATTTTATACCTTGTGATGACTTGAGGAAAATGGAAAATATCAATGAAAGTCAGAATTATGCTGTAAATACCAAAATGCATAAAATTCATATTGGTTTTTAAGGCAGAAATCAAAAATAGAAACTTGAAGTTGATTCCAAATGTTTGATCTGTAGTCAAAGTCATCCAAGACCCTTTCTGTGTTTCAATATGTAAGTGCTAATATTTAAAAAAAAAAAAAAAAACAGATGTTTATTAGAAACATGTTCAAAGAACAGAGATATACTGAGAAATCATCTGGTAGCAACGATCTGCCTCCTGTAATATCATCCTGCCCTGGTCCAAACTAAAGCTCCAATCTGCAGCTCCAGGTAGAATTGAAATCAGCACTGTTTGGTGTGTAAGGTGTTACTGAGTGAAGAAGAATCAGCTATTTTAAGTGTCGGTGAAGGACAAATAGGGTAAAAGCTTTCAGAACTGTATTATCTAGAGAACTGTGTTGGGTCATCATTCAGACTGCTACAACAGGGAGATGAATGTCAACAGAAAGCTGATTGTATTACAGAACATTTTCTCAATTGTATCTTTGTTTAGAGTCTCATTTTGTCTGTCATGTAACATGCTGGAGCTGGAAATGCTTTATTTTGGAAATCACACAATTTAGATAAGAATCTAGTATCTATCTCTCTGATATCTAATTTCTTTCCTTGAAGTAATAGACAAATCCTGTTTAATTGCAGTGTGTGTATGCTCATTGCTGTCTCATACATACAGTGTGACATCACCCCTGGCCCAAACATTGAGTAATTTATAAATGATTGATCACAGAAATATACCTGAGGTGTAAAACACAATACGATTGCTCAAGCGTCTTGTCAACTGTCATCTGGAGTCATAACACACCTCCAGCTGAAGCACAGAGTGATAGTGACGCTGCCGGAAGATTATTTGATGCTGCAACTTGAAGAGTTGGCCAACAATACCAATGTGCATTGCACAATAGGGAATAACTGTGGCATGTTTTTTACCATTCATTTGATTCTGCTGGAGTGAATCTCACTTTGGCTCCTGTAGAGCTACGATAAATGAATGCAACAACAGAACATGTCTTATTAAATCTTAACCTTTTTCCTCTCAAACATTAAGTTGAATGTCAGTGTTATTTATTTTAAAAGTGCTTAAGGAAACACATGGATTATCTTATGGTTTTGATTCGATTTCTTTTTTTCTTTTTTTTTACAATTTCAGATTTGCAAAATAACAAAAAGTAAAACTATAATGATTATAATTTTCTTTGTGAAGGAGACATGATATAATTTACTTTAACTTAGTTTTCAGTTGTTCAGAGTATTCTTTTCCACAATCGGTACAATTTTACAGTAGGCTATTTGGAGACTTTCAGTGATGCAGAGAGCTCTAATATTGCTCGTTGGAGAGAAACAATTGTTGTCAAAAGATGCTATAAAATGGATGATAGGGCAACTAAGAATCACAAGGGAGGAACTACATCTAACGTTTCTCTTTAGAGTTATGGCTGAGATTCAGATGGATTTTCTGTCTGCAAATGGACAAAATAGCTGGCAGTTGAACAAAGAGAAATATGTAGCTCTACAACTTGCCAATTAACAACCACTTTGCTCTAAAGAGTTAATTTAATAAGATTAATTTGTGAAAGAGGCAAGTCTAAAGATAACTCCAATCACTTAATATTAAGTAAACCTCAGGTGATCCCTGTAAATTAATAAAATGACTTTTAACGCCACACTAGAATAAGACTAATATTTAAGAATCTCCATGCAGTGGCACCACCTAGCTGCAACAACACATCGTGTTATTAAAGTCAGGCCTGAAATACTGACAGCAACCTAACTTTGTTACATTTTGATTCAACTCATTATGTAAAAATTATAATTAGTCAATTTCAACTAAAACACTCGATTTAATGAGACTCCAAAGCCGCTTGAAAAAAAAAAGTGTGAAACACATTAGAGCTCGGTTTGCTGTTTGATTTTTAATTAATTCACAGGAAGAAACTGCGTCGTGAACGTTACATTGAATAAGTTTGGAAGTGGCGGACGTTGGAAACAGTTGTAGCAGCAGAAGCAGCGGTGCTAACGCTAGCTAGCTGCTCTTCCACCTGTTTAAACGGCCCAAAACAGCGACGCTCCAACGGCCGAACTTCAACCGGGTTGTCTCCACGAAACCCCCACAACAAACCTGAACAACTCCAGCCACGTTTAAACTCACAAGCGAAGTTGCTCTCTCGTCGGCGAACGGAATTAGCATTAGCCGTACTTTACGATACGTTCATCCATCCATCCTGTTGGGACTGAGCTGAAGGAGCGTTCACGTCCCGGTTTCCACTACACAACGCAAGTAGCAACAAGTGTAAAGTGATGAATTAGTTCGGATTTGCAGTCACAAATAATCTGTTTTGAAAGCAAGCTGTTGTAGAAGTTGGGTACAGCTCCAGAGCGAACATTAGAAGCGAAATGTTATCGTTTCACGGAAGGGGAAAGAAAAGCTGTTCGCAACTTGGGGCGGATGCCAGAAAGAGGAGAAAGTTACATTCAGGAAGACGCGTTCGAGAACATACATTTCTTCCTCCCTTTAAGCGAAATCACTCTCTAAATGTTATAAACATAAAATCACCTTTGCCTTGAGAAAAGTTCTGCTCTCTTTCCCTCTCTCCAACTCACTCGGTGACTTCCAGATGGTGCTGCTGCTGTTGCTGAGTGTTGCGCCCGTTGGTAAGTAACTGTCTCCACGGCTACAGTCACTATAGCGCGGCGGGGTCTCAAGGCAACTGTTGCTACCCTCCAACGCCTACGTCAGGGGCCTCACAATGGGAGGGAGGGGCGAGAGGAAAAAGACGCTCCGCCCAGTCAGAGCGGGCTGTTAGTTCAAATTGAGCCGCTAGGAGGTGCTGTAGGCGAAGAAAAATCTTAGTTTGTGATTGCAACGAAATGCGCTTCTAAATAAATTACAATATGAGTGTATGAGTTATTTTAGCAATTCAATTCAAGACGGTAAAGCTTGAATATTTTAGAAATTCATTGTTCGGCAATAGGTAGCTACATTTACTTTATCAGTTAAAAAGAATATCAGTACTTTTACTACATCCTACTTTTTATTTTTATTTGAGTAATATTATTATGAAGTGTCAAATTTCTGACTCGAACCAAAAATCCAACAAGCTTGGCTGTAAAATGTTATTTTATATTTACCAAAGAAGCTAGTGAAAACTTTATATAATGTTTATATTCTGTCTTTTCCAGAGATAAGTAAAAGTACAGTACCTATTCTATTCTATTCTATTCTATTACATGTCCACGACTGCAGGGTGATACAGTTGTTTTGAAGCAAGAAGGTTCTGGATCTGATGAATTGTGCTTGAGGACTGCACAAAATAATGTAGAGGGCTCCAAATCCTCCCTGAGTTGCACTTTGGATACTCATGGTTTAAAAGCTGCAATATGTTTCTGCATTAATATACTGCATGTATATTTAAAACAACTGTCTCTGATGAGGAATTAGAGTTGTTAAATTATACACTTAATTGTATGGCATCTCAATAAAGTATCACACTCCTTGAGTCTTTGAGTTTGTTGCCTTATAACAAGAAATAACTTAAAACCACAAAGTGTTCAAGAAAGACGCAAACTTCATCACTGCACAATTACGCACTATGTGCTGATTTGTCAACAAAATCTCAATTAAAGTACATTTAGTGTTTTTAACTGCATTTAGAAATGTGTTCTTTTGTGTAAAAAATACAGTTCTGTATAAATTGTTCATAAAATATTGTAAAATTAACACAAATAATTAATATGTCAACACAAAAGCTAGCTAAAAACAAACATTTGTTCCAAATTGAAAAGCATTTTTCTGTTTTTGCATCTGAGCATATACTTATTGATAATTATGAAATAAAAATATATATACAGATATGTAGTGCCTGAATATTTCTGTCATTAATATACATCCGATTCCTTTTCTTAGTCTGCAATATTTTTCTTGGATTATAGCATCAGAGATCTTTATTTTATACCCACACAGGAAAACAAACTGCAGATTTATCACCCCTTCTTGTAATCACATCATTTTAACACATGATGGCAGCACAAACCTATGCTGCAAAAACCAAATGCCAGATTAATCTAATCTCAGTATAATCCTGTTTTTGATAAACTGGTAACACCTGTTCTGTTGAATTACAGTATGTTCAAAAGTGAACCAAAAGTGAACTCTTACATTGAAAACATTAGAATATAATACTTACATGTTAACACTTATATGTAAATGTAACAAAGAAAAACACAAAAATTCTAATAAATTTGCACATTATTGAAACATCTATATTTCTGTACCTCCATTCACCGAAACACATTACATATGGTAGATTAATTAAACACAGGTTGATGTTTTCAACCCTTTATTTTTAATATTTAAGATTATTTTCCATTGTTGACGCCGTATTCTTAGGATAATGAAAATGTCACCTTAATTAAAAAATTAAGAATTCTATTCAAAAAATAATTTTCGTATGGCAAAGGAGCCTGAGAATACGACATATGATAATTTATTGAGTATCCTTAAACAATATTAAATAATCAGAAACTGGTATACTGTTTCTGCTACTTTCTTATGAATATCCGACTTTAACAACATGAATTTTTCAGATTGAGATCCGGCAGTGTGAGAAAAATGGGAGAGTTTATCTTGGAGCTCTAGAAGCAGCTCAGCAAGCAGCTCCTTTCATTTCCCTGTCATCAACGTCACAGATAGACGCCTTTCAACAGCTTCTTCTGGCGGTAAGTGATTATTAACACCGCGTTTATCTTTGCTATTTCTCTCTTCGTCACCCTGATGTTATAATGTTCAGATAACGTCTAAGAATTTAGAGTGACAGTTTGCGGAATAAAGCTAACAGCAGATGCTAACAATAAAAAACGTCCGTCCCTTGCTAAGCATTCCGCAGTCATTTATTCCGCAGCCATTCAGCTCAGCAGGTTCATTAAGTTATTAATTAATTAACTAATTATTAACAATTAAAAAAAACTTTCTAAAACTGATGACAAGTTTCATTAACTTCGGTTAAAATCCCGTCCGTTATAAATGTACACCTGCTTTGGAGACGCTAGCATGAAGCTGCTGTGACGTTTATAAGACGCTTAAATGCAGTTGGAGATTTACAAAACAGGTTTCTGTCTCCGCAGCGAAGGAATGAAGTGAATGACACCCTCAGATAAAACTGAGAACTTTTAAAACACAGGGATGTTTTACTGAGGAAGACACTGCAACTGTTTCATAACTTAGATATTTGAGTTTTTTGGTTTTTGCGTGAAATGATAGTAGCTCAGATGAACAGGTGATGTGATTTCCGTATGATCCGGACCAATTGGCTACAAATCGTCTCTTTGCTTACTATTAAACAATAGTAATAAGCATCTAATAATCAGTGTTGTATACAGTACTGAAATCTCGGAGTAAAGTAAAAGTATAGGTACCGCTCCAAAATATGACTTTGGTAAAAGTAAATGTCACTGATTAAAATGTTATGGAAATTACTGGAAAAATGGATGTACTCAAGTAATGTAATGAAAAATACAAGTAAAAAGTAAAACAAGGCAAATGCAGTTTGAATGACATTTTTTATATTTTGGTAAATTTGTCAAAAACACTTAAAATAATGTACACAGCCAAGTGCAGGCAAAATGAAACCTGCTAATAGATATACCTGCAGGCATCATTTAGTTAAGAACATTAGGTGCTTCACCTAAACCACAAGGTTAACTTAACCAGCTTTACAACTGAACCAGCTTCTTAGTATACCCTCCAGGACAGAAAATGCAAAGTTTTTGTAAGCCTTAAGTGTTTCCTTTCAGTAAGGTCAGTGCTGAAAATGAGAAAAATAAATAGTGGCCAAAATGCGGCCAACATTAAGAAAAAAAGCCGTTACGATTACTCTACTTCACAAACTATAGGTGCACACAACTGGTCATTATGTAAAAGAAAAAGAATTGGGAGGGAAATGCAGCTTATTTGGCATCTGAAGAGGGAGAGCTTTTTTGTAAACTTTGTGTTTAATGGGAGAAGCGAAACAGACCTCCGTGAAGCAGACACCCCATCAACGTCAAAATATCCAGAAAATAGTCTGATTGGTTAGTGCTTCGTTTGTGCAGCTTTGGTTATTAAAAAGATATTGAAAATAATTTTTAGGCCATCTAAAATATATACTTTTTAAGATTACAATTACTGAAAATATTGAGTATGACTAAAAATTCACTAGAGAACAGTGTGTCTCGTGTAACAGCATGAATTTTGTGTCAGTTGGTCACAAGGCAAGAAATCTATTTCCATTAGTTTCTCAGGAGAGTTTGAATGTAAAATTTGTTGACTCTCCCTGAGTGAAACTCCGACACCTTGAGGAAGGGGGAGACCTAGAGACCGGCTGGCCGAAATTAGCGTTCATGAATCGGATCAACCTTGAGCCAGGCGCCGCTCACACCGGATATTGGAATAGCCAAAATCCAAATTGAAAACAACTTTGCTGCGTTTGTTTTAACGGCACAAACCTGCACAAACGGAGCACTAACGAACCAGCCCACTTTGGTTTGTTTTGGAGCAAACTGCTGGGATGGTGAACTCTGGATGGCCTAAAAAATCATTTTAATATCTCGGAAACCAAAGCTGCACAAACGAACATTTTAACGGCACAAACCTACACAAACGGAGCACAGACTGTTTGCTGGACTTTTTGACGTAGGTGGGGAGGAGCGAAACCTGTGCATCCTATTGGTGGTGATGAACAAGCCCAGGCAAGCAGACTTTGTTGCAGTCAATCAGTAGGTGGGATCCAAACACTTGCGTTTCTCTCTCGCTTTTTTGTAACGAGTAACTAAACCACACATTGAAAATGTATCGGAGTAAAAGTTTACAATTAAGTTCGGAAATGTAGTGAAGTAAAAGTGAAAGTTATCAAAAATTTTCTTACTCGAGGAAAGTATGAAGTACTCCAAAATATACTTAAGTAAAGTAGGGAAGTATTTTTACTTCGTTACTATACAACACTGCTAATAATAATACTTATTTAAGTATTATTTGAGCCTAAATGATACTTTAAGCTTAAAGTTATTATTAATACTAAGTGATTGTTAAGACTTAATTAACTAATAAGCAAATCATTACAGTTCATGAGTAGTAACTAATATTAGTACTATCATACTAGTCAATTAAATGTAACTGACTCAAATTTAGTATGATTTAAATGTATTATTCAGTACGTTAGAATATCATTGAAAAGTATCTAAGTCAAGTAATTTTAAAATGTGTAACTCATAGATTTATTATACACAAGTTATTTTGTTCATGTGATCATGGTGGCTCACAGATAATAAACGTCTAAAATTTAGATTTATTAGAAAATGCAAACATCACATGAGACCAATAATAAAGAATTTTAAATCAGTAAAATATACATTTGTACTTTTACTATGACCAAACATAATATGAACTTACACTTATATTTACAATAAATGCAACTTCATTATTACAACTTGTACAGTTGTCAGTTCTTGAAGATCCTAAGTACGCACAAACAGCTAAGGT